ACCTGCACGAAGCCATGCTGCTCCAACACCCCATAAATCAGTCACTGGATAAACTGCTTTTGCTGTCCTCAGAGCTTTGCCTAGGACTCTGGTTTCTCTCTCCAGGCAGATGGCTGTAAACACACACAAACAAACATGTACATGCATCCTGCCATTTAGTGAAGACACGCCAAGTACAAATAGTGGTTGCAGAGGTTTGGTATCTCTTTTCTAACATCCATAATTGTCCATCCAGCTCTGGTGAACTGGAAGCGTTAAAAGCAGCCAGTGGATGGCTAAATGTAAAGATAAACAACTACATAACGCTCATTATTCCTAATTTAGTTTCTCAAACTTGAAGTCAGTGGAACGTGTTGTTGTTTGTTATAGTGTTAGTATTATTTATTGCTTGTCACATGGTAGGGCACGGAGATCCCATTGTGATGCTGTGAAAATGTATGGCTAAAGGGCTACATTTAATTCTAAACACTCCATTTTAAAGCAGCTTTAAAAACTCTTAATTAACTACTTAATAAATCTTTATATACTCTTACAGCTTCCAGAAAGTCAATGGGTTATTACTAAACATAGCATTTCCCAGCTTCTTCCACAGATGTGCTTGTAACCATTGATAATATGCTGTATGCACATGTGAAACCTTCTGCTAATAAGTATTAACTGTTCGTTAATCAATGATTAATAAATGAAATCTCAGTAATTAAATTCTCAGACATAAGCAAGAACAGCCTGTTTTCTTTCTGGGTAGTAGGAAGAGACCTTAGAGGCTGAGCATTTAGCCATGTGGCATTAAAAAGTTCTTAGGAGGGCTAGGTAGGAGTTTTTGGCCAGACCTTCAGACCTGCTGAGATCGGCCTTTATGAAGACAGATGTTGAATGCCTGCTGAAGTCAAACAAAACAGCTTTCTTTCTGCTGAAAATTGTCTCAGGCCTCCCAGTATTCCAGCCCCTAATTTTGTCAATGCATGGCATATTACAGTGATATTTCTGTCATTTATACTACTGAAATGGTGAAACCTAATTTTGAATTTTCAGAGCTTCAGACAAATGAATTTATCTCAGCAAAGTCAACTGTATACAGATTTTAATTTGACAGTTAATGTTGCTGTGATAGATCGGGATGCTTACTTGTGGCAAGCAACCTGACCTTACAGCAGGGAACAGAGGCTTTTGATACTGTCCACGTACGTGATAAAAGAAAACCTGCTCTGAGAGGGAGCTTCGAGTCCAGTATCAAGAGTAAGCACTGGTTATTTTCCATTGTTCCTGTCCCTGAAATGATACACATTACAGGAATGATTTGTAGGGTTTTAGCTCTCTTTTCTTATGCTTATGTACCAGTAATTTATATGTTTGCTTTAGCCCAAATCACTCTGTTTTCATTTTCAGAGGCTAACAGAATTACCAATGACTGTATTGATAATCTCAGGGCTATTTTTATACGTTGAATCTCTTTAAGAGTCTGCTCTGCTTAACATTACAAGCTTCATACAAAAGTACACTAAAATGATATTAAGAAAATACAATAAAGTGAGATCTGTGCATACGTAATTTTTTATTTGTGCCCCTGGGAGTTCAGTGCAGACACTGATAGGACACAAGACCCATTAGATTTATTTGTAGCAGGAGTGCTATCTCAGTAATAAAACTATAAGCTTGAGATAAGAGTGATACTGTGTCACCTACTTCACTTCAGTGGTTTCCCTGTATTCTTATTTGTTTTTACTGGTGCCAAGCTTACTAGGAGCTGAGAAATACAAACAGCATATAGCACGTATAGCCTAATGTACTGATTTTATTTCCAGCATGCAATTATGTTTAATTGCATTGTTTGCTACCCTTGTCAGTATAGTTTGATTCCTTTTCCTACTTATGTTCTTCCTGCTTGCCTTTTGGTTTTGCTATGCTATTACACGATAACATGAACAGCACTATGCCAGAGGCAAATTACCACAACAGCTAACCACGCTTGGCATCTCCAAGACCTGGTGGTAGTGTTCCACTGCAGAGATAGTTGCTAAAGTTATGTGATTTTTTTTTTTGTAACCTTTGTGCTCCTATGTCCTACAACTGTTGATAATATTCTGCTGAGACTTTGTTTTTGGGAGAGAGTTGCTTTTTTCCTGTTGCACTAGTTTTTGTCTCTCTTGAGGTAGAACGTTGCATCTTCATCCAAAGAAGCTGGTATGTACTCACTGTAACCAGTAAGCATCAGAATGATGGAAAGAAGAATGCAGTATTTCTTTCTAATGTTTAACTGCGATGTTTAAATATACTGTGTGGTAGATTTAATTGCCTGTGGGTAACTAAGCCATCTATATTCACACAGATATGAAATGAAGGAGGAACACTGTTAATGTATCCCTCCTGTATAGCAGTTCTGTTAACAGATCCTTCATTCCTGTATTTCATTAATATTAAGAGTGGTATCCTTTATCATCCATGAGTGTGGTGTTACTCAGGGATCTGCTATGATTATTTTCTTCTCTAGGCCCTGGGGTCCCTGACCACCACTATTACAATGCTGCTGCTGTCATACAGTGGTTAGGAAAGTCATTTTAAAGGCTTACAGATGTTTAGAAAACATTGTGTACATCTAAAATAACATAGATTGTTTGTTGTGATAGTTCCTTGGACTGGTAGAATATTTTTCATAAATTAATTGCCAGAAAGACGGCAGGTGATGATGCAGGCCCATCCCACCACAGAGCACCGTCCAAAGGATCTTGCTTAGATGCCTGTGCATCAAGCCCACAGCTTCTGTTTGTGCAATAGCATCGCTTTACAGAAGTTACCCTGTCTTGCTGTAAAGACTTCAAGGATTACAGAATTCACTGTGTACACAAGGTAGATGCTGCAGAAGTTATTTGCTTTCAGAGTTGCATGTTTGCATTTACTTATAATCTTCATTTGACTAGTTTCAGCTTCCAACAAATCCTTGGATCTTCTGATGCCTTTTCTGTTAGGTCAAACCCTCGCAATTAGACATCTCTCTTAGTGCAAGTGCTTGCAGACTGGGGCAAACATTTTCTTTGCTGTCCCTTGGTTAAACTAAATCAACCAAGTTTCTTTAGGTCTTTGATGAAATGCGTGTTTCGGTGCTCTCTTCATAACCTTTTTCTGAACCTCATCCAATTTTTAGTCTCCTTTTAGAGCTGAAGACAAGAACTAGACACTGGACTGTAGTAAGCATTTTGTTGTTGCTGGGAACCACATCTTCCAACTCCAACTTGATTGTGCTTCTGTATAAGGATGCTAAGGATCGCTTGACCTCTTAACTGTGTTGTTCCAGAGTATAACCTCCCATCCATCTAGTGTGAGACATATTCCTTGCTCTAAAGTGTGTGATTTTGTATTTCCCAGTATTAAAACACAGAGCAGTGTGTATCCACTGGCCAGTTTGCATAGTTAACCACTCCTATGAATTTTGTTTCATTTTTGTTTTCTTAAGTGTGTGTCCACTGTAACATTCTTTGTCCCATCAAAATTTTTGATTTGTTCATGGATCTAGCCCCAAAGTGAGTAACTGAATCATAACGAGGGCACTTGCTTTCATTTAGGGACTTGAAGTAGAGGGGATGTTTTAACTAGCATTTGTTTTGCTCGGGCCAGTAACAAGAACATAAAAGGTAAACACAGACTAGGGATATAAAATTGTAAAGGACAGAATGAAATTCCCTTGATTGCGAATATTGATCTTCCTTTCTTAGCCTAAATTTGTACCTGGGGAATTTAGCTGATAGCCTGAGCTGTGTGATCAAACTGCAGCAGTGTCCACAAGCAGACTTTGCTGTAGCAGATAATAAGATTGGGTTGTGTTTTGGTGACTTTTTTCCTCCTGAAAAAATAAGATTTATTCATACAGAACGGGACTGCTATTTTAGCACACAAGCGTAGTTAAGAATTAGAGACTTGGCTGCAGATTTCTAATTATTGCAAGTGAAGAATCTCTTATTCAGCTGCAAAGTCTTCTCTTATAAGAGATTGCACCTGCTGTTGTCTCTTCCTGAAGTTGTTTGGGTTCCCCAGGGGTCTGCAAGCCCCCATTCACAGTACTGGCTTTTAAGATTTTTGATGTTCAGCTGTTGTATGTGTGTATGTACATCTAGCGGATGGATTGCTGACCATATTGAGCAAAATCAAAATATATAGATCTTGGACTTTGTTAAAACATTTAAAGTAGAGACGTAAATCTACTTTAGTACATAAGAAATAAAATCACTGATCTTGGCAGTTTAGAAAAGGTAGAAGAAGTTTCCTGAAGGATGATGTTAAAAGCCATACTAGCAGCAAGTGGGGGATTGTATCACCTACTGAATCTGTCTTCTAACCTAAGCTTGGCCTAATTCTGCTGAACTCCCATAGTCTGTGCAGGTACATAGTCTCTAGGTATAAGAATAGTAGCTAAACTTATACTACCTAGAAAAAAAAATGTGCAAGGGCTATTAGCTGTCTTACCTAGGGGGCATAAGATGATGTCCAGCTGGGGCGAAGAGGAAATATTTCCTTCCTGTTGGGCATTATATAGTTGTCTGGGTATATTAAGCGTATTGTGTTTTTTTTTATTTGTTGTTTTTCTCACATTTTGCCTGAATTTCATTATATAAGCCATTGCTCTAGGAGGATGCCAGACTAAAAAAGCAATCTGGGTTATGTATTATGGCGATTCCTTTTTATTTTGTTTTTAATGCTGTCCACAATAAAATGAGATTCACTGTATGTTTCACCTTGTTGGCTTTGTAATGCATTGCTTTTAACACTGTCCTGCCAGCTTTGTGACGTAAATTTGACTGCAGCTGAGGAATATTGTTAATCCTCTCATCTCCTTGTGGGGAATCAAACTTGAGCCAAATGAAATGTTTTGTGTTCCGGTGTTTTCTCTTGGAGCTGGACGTACAAAGGAAGTAAAAAAAATTGCTGGCTGCCAGGATCTCGTTAGAGTGATACTGATTCTCCACATTGAGGTGCCAATAAAGCAGTTGTTGTTCTTTTTCATCTTGCAGCTTACTCTTCACCAAAGTAAAACTGGAATGGATGCATAAAGGACCTGAGGAGGCTCTGGTGACATGCAGGCATATGTTGCAGTTGTGGCAGATGGTATATTCTGTTTTACAGCACAGGTAGGTTTTCTTCACAGTCTAACAAGTTCAGAGTTTATAATGGGAATACAGTTATCTTTTTTAATTGTCCAGTTACTTTGCAAAAAGGGTAACAAACAGTACTGTTTAAAAAAGTCACATTTCAATCCATGATTAAAAAAAAAAGTTTAAACAATGTTCCCTTTTTTGTTATCTTTTTCACCTGCTTCCCATCCAAAAGATAAAAGTTCAGAAAGTATGAAAGCAACCAGCTTGGATTTTCTTTTTTCCCATATCTTTTGGTTATTGTCCCAGTCGTGATACCACTGTACAACTATCTTGGGAATGTTATCCCAACACTATATTTACCTTCTACCTGTAATGTTCATAGGCACTATGTTTGATGGAGAGGACAGTGTGCTTAATGGAGCACTCATGTCAGGTGTCAAAGGTTTTATTGTTTCCCTGTTTGTGCATGCACTTACATAGGTTTTATAAACACCAGAACTGGATGTGCAGAATGATGCATGTCTATGTACAAGTGTTCCTGAGGGATTCTTGGTAATTCCTTGTTGGTTTAGCTAATGAGCAGCAGACCAAACACTAAAATCAAGGTGTTTGCACAGTGCTAGAGAAATAGTCTCTTACCTGCTGAAATCATTGATTTCCATAGGCTTTAATATCCTTGGCTAAGGCTTCAGTCTTGTATCTCTCACAGGAATAATCTTTATACCCGTGATTACTCCTCATGAAGCTGATCAAATCTGCACTGAACATACAGGACTGGATGCAACTTAGAGTTGCAAGGAGGGGGGTGCAAGCTTGAGGCTGAAGAGATTGAGTTGGAGGACAGAGAAATAAATAGTTCAAGTATTTGGATTGCATTTGGATCTCAAGCTGTGCTTTGGCCGTTACTATTTAAAAAGCCAAGATGGGATAGCTTTAGAGGCTTTTGATAAGCTTTAGCCATAGAAGCCTGAACAAAACAAATAGCTTCGCTTTTGCTTTTAGAAACTCTAATGTGTATTTCTCTGCTATTCCCAGTGGGACTTTTTGTCTTTCTCAAGAAATACTTCAGAAAGCACTTTTTATTAGGAAATAGTGCTTGAAAGGTAACAAGAATGAACTTGATACCTGCAATTTTAGACTTTGTAGAGTGGCACAGGAAGGCCCTTGTTTTAAGCAAATTGCAGCAGTATCAGCTAACAAATATGTAAAATATTCAAGGCTGGACTTTAAAAGGAACTGAAGGGGATTTCTTATCAGTGGGACGTGGATGCATACTTTTTTTAGGGCCTCTTGGAAAAGAGAAGCCTGTTCTTCTATGAGGCTCAGAACTGTTACACCCCAAACTCTCTATTAGTTCAATCAGTAGCTCATCACCTACGGAGTTAAATCTCACTTTACTTATAGTTGGTTGCATTTCTCTGACCTTGGTTTCTCAGCTGTGCAAACTTAGTGTGACGCTGCTAGACTAGGGAGCGTTTCAGGGCCCAGTATTTTCTCCCCAGGCAGGTATTCGTGTGTCTTGCTCAAGTGCCCTCTCACCTTCTTCCTGATGAACCAAACTGCTGGTGCCTCACAGGAAAACGTTTCCTTCAGCAATTTCTGTGAGCATTTTATCCACCGTCTCAACTACCTTTACAAACAGGGGTGGTGGAGTGACATTCAGTGTCCCACTGCCAGCCTTCCAGTGCCATCTGTGGAAGGCAAATCATCTGGCTGCTGTCCCTATGCACTGAAAGGCCGTGCTACGTGCACCGAAACGGTGCCTGGAAAGGCTCTCTGGGTTGAAGGCCTTGTACTGCAGGTTGAAGGCCTGAACTTGTACTTCAACGTGTGGTTCACTTTCAGGCCTTTTTCAGAATAAAGCATAAAGTTGTTGGAAGCTGCTTGTTTGCAGAATGTAGTCCTCATGGTTTTCAGTCTGTTTCCCTAGTTAAAAGGCTGTCCCTCTGGCTGTACTGAGATGGGTATTTCCTCTGTATCTGTCACCACTCGATAACTTCAAATGGGACATCAGTATGGAAAGCAGTGTGTAAAACAGGGAGGCCGAGTCAAGGCAAGAGATTTGGGCAAGTAGTCAAATGGCCAAGAAGTCAGGGTCCATTAAGAGAACCTATAATATTTCATCCCAAAACCCAAGTAAGAGGTTAATTAGCCATCATAATTACGATTACCAGTGTGATGAATTAAGTGGCTTTCAGTCCAAGAATATTAACTGGCAAGGACAAGACTTAGTTTATCTCTTGTTGTTGTTTTTCGTGATAACAGAATAATCATGTTTAAAAAATAATAATAAAAACAACAAATGGCAGTCCCAAGGTAATTCTTCTGCTGGATCAATGCAAATTCAAGGGAATCCCATGCGGTATGTACCACAAGGCTGATTGAACTGGAAGGCTGGGCATCTATCACAATGATGGTTCTGTGACATCTCGTTTCCTGAGAGAAATAATATCCAAAGGCTGAGCTGCGGGCTTGGAAGTGTGCCAGAAGAAGTAGCCAGGGCAGTCACTTTTCCTTTGGATATTTTGTCCCTTAATGGATGGTGAGAGCAGATATCATCACCATCTGATCCTAGGGGGATGGCAGGCTATGTGGTGACAGGAAGGCTCAGGAGATCTGCACTAAGTAATTTTCATTAGGCACAGGATTTTATTTTATTTTATTTTTTATTTTTTTATTGGAGTTCCCCTTTGGAAAAGCTCTGCTGTGAGGACTGAAGTCTAGAAGCGGAGCAGACCAGATAATCTTCCTTTCATAAAGCAGTGCTGTGTGGTAGCTTTTATCTTCCTTCTCTGTTCAAACAGAACAAAGGTGGAAGAGGAAATAATAATCTTTCTGAAATGAAGAAATTAGCACCTGTGTGGAAGGTGGTAATTGGTCTGTTTCAAAAGGATTATCACAGCAGACCTGTGAATAAATCCTACAGAAAAAAGCAAGGGACATTGGTTCTTTTTTTTGGGGGGGGGATTGAGGAGGAAGGTGTTAATGGTTGTCCTTCTATCATCTGGCATCCTAGCTGGCAACATGTTCCTCATCCAGTGGTTGACAAAGACCCCAGCACTTAAATAAAATAAACTGATAGTGGCACGCACACTGGAGCTCTTGCTCGGCACGGTGTCTCTGAGTGCCCAGGTTTGTCATCCACTGCTGGGTGGAGGTGTAACAAAGGCACCTTCAAGAAGCACCTAAAATTTTCAGTTCCAGAGACAGTCAGATGAGATTATTGCCTGCTTCGTGGAGAACGTTGTCTCCCTGCTGAAAGGTGGCTAGATAACATGTTTTTGTTTCTTTACAGTGGCTCTGAGAAAGGAAGTAGTGTGACCGAAACACCAGTGATCAAAAAGCATAACTGGACTGCATCTCACGCTCCCGGATGCTCATGATACTGATTCTGGTGAGGAAACAAGATCTGTGCTTTCCCATCCTAAATACATGCTTTCATGAGAGCGGAATGTTTTATTGTCTTGTGTGGAGGTTGCTGGGCTGGGGGTCAGGAGATTCAGATCTGTCTCTGGGGCCTCTCTGTGCTGCAGTGTGCTGCTGTGGTTTGCCTGTACCTCAGCTTCCCCGAGCGTAAAGCTGAGGTGGGTTCCTGCTTTCTTCTACAGAGCACTCTGAGACAAGCCTGAAAGGTATTAGGTGGGAGTTCACCATACTTCTGAAATAACTGTCTAGTTCAGTCCAGTTTATTTTTCTTCTTTTCCTTTTCCCTCCTCTTTTTTTTTTTTCCCTCCAAACTTTAATCCTTTTTGGTCAAAATTTAATCCTTTTAGATCAAGCCAGCTAATACTATGGTCTGGGAAAGCTGAGTGTTAGCGTCAGTTGTGACTGGACTGTGATTTGGTCTGGGATTTGTACATGAACCTTGTGATGCGTTATTCAATGGTTAATACACACTCACAGTAATGGATATAGTCAGATGGAAATAACTGAGACATCAAAGCTAATCTTGGCAAAAAGGAGAAAGAAGACTTTCAGAGAGTGCTGCTGACTTGTGATTTTATCACAAGTCTCATGATACTTGCTGTTTCCTTTAAAACCCTAACTCTCAAAATCAGATGATTATGTGAGAAACTTGCCTTTTTATTTATGTTTTAGGCAACAACTTTCTAACCTTGTGTATGTAGAGGAACACTTGGGAAAAAAAAAAAAAAGAACTTCACAGACTCAGAAACTGAAAACAAAAACAAAACAACATATAATGGTATAAAAACTTACTTTTAAAAACATTACATTTTAAACAAGTCTCATGCCTTCAGGACAGGGAATGAATGATTGTCCAAGTCTTAATCTTGAACATTTAGACTTGGTAAAACTGAAGCCACATGCTCAGCACATATAGCTGAAGACAATGGCAAGTTCGTATGTATTAAATATGTGACTTGTGTTGAATTATATTCGTTAACCTCCATTTGCACCCATCAGTGGTTAAAAAGCACTGCAAGGTTAGGTTTTGAGCATACAAATACTCAAGCATCAAAACATTATTCAGCATGTCTGCTCTTATTTTTGTTCACGTTGTTAAGCCCTCGGGATCTGTATTTATGACATTATAATCTTACTGATTCTATATGCATATCTTTATGTAATTCTTAATCTGTTTATTCCATTTCCCTTTTATTACTCTTTATTGAGAGAAGTTTCTCTATTTTGTATAGGACCTTTTTCTTATTGTTTGTATGAATCTGTATTCTGTAGTCTTTGGATTACTTAAAGGGAACCTAAATTCATAATAGATGAAGAGAATATACTAAATGAATAGCTATGTGCTGTTTAGTATATTAAAAGTGGTCTGGAAAGGGGAGCAAATACAAAAGCTTCCTGGTGATGAAAAATCATTTGGGATAGTCATCACTTGGAGGTAATTGTGAAGGTTTGCAGAAGTGCCCTCTATGATACCTGATGCTGGGCACTAAAATCAGCTTTTATGCCCTGGGTTGTCTCCTCTACAGTCCTGGAGGTTTTTCCAGCTCTTGTGCTTTCTGCTTGCTCCTCTGCTACAGACCTGCAGCATCTTGTCTGGAGTCACAGCAAAGCCTGGACATGTTTGGTCTCTATTTAGAGTCCTCCTAAAAGGCACCTGGGATGGGTACCAGTCCCGGTTTGCTCTTATCCCAATTTCAGCAGCCAGCATGCAGCGGAGCGTAGTTCAGCAGAAAGTGCAGTATGCTGTGCTGCTGCTTGCCAGAAGGAGAAAATTAGTGTGAAATACAAGCATTAAACAGTCTTTTCACACATCCAAAGTGATTTACACTGAAGGGAGTTTGGTTTTAGCCAAGAAACGTACGCCTCCTCTGCTTCAAGGACCTAGGTTTGCATGCTAACACGGTTACACCTGCTGTGGAGGAAAGGATGTGGCTCCTACTGGAATTACACCATCCACCTTAGTGCATGACTTGGTGCTGGCAGTTTCCAGCAAGGGCCTGTGGCTCGAAGCTGGGTCCAGTTTCCATCGTGAGGACCCCAGGGAGCATCGCCGTAGTGCACAGGCGCTCTGCGACCTCTGGGCTCGACGGCGAAGGGGGGATTACTGCGGCTGGGTTCGACGCTGGCCTCTCCCTCAGTCAGAGCACAACGAGATTATTTGCTGCGCTAGAATTTTAGGTTTGCTGCCAGGAAGATTAATTCCTTTTTATTTTCTTCATCTTCTCCTAACTGAAGCAGTGTTCCTAGCTAAATTCACTGGTATCAGTCAGCTGCCTTGCTGTTTCATTCTTTTTGTGATTTAGTCTTATCTTATAATGCTCTTGCCTGAAGTGATTTAGGCTAGGGAATTCTGTGTTTCTTATAAGCCTAGTAAATCTACAGAGTTGCATTTCTATTTTGATAGCAGATTTTTCATAGATGTAAAATATTAAACGTGGTCCTTCTTGGTCTTATAACACTGCTAGCACAATACTTTCAAATTATTTAGATATCTTTTTGTACGGCTTGTCTGTGAAGCTCATCATGACAAAATCATTTTATTATTTTTATGATTTCTTTCCAAAATGTGTAGAGGGCTTTACTGTAAAACGCAAAGTTTACATTCTATCTAGTGGAGCTATTAAAAAGAGAAGGAGACTGCACTAAAATAACAAATGGATGTGATATCTTCATATGCCAAGATTTGCATGTATTTTGAGGCTTGACATTAAAGTTCTGTGAGACAGGTTTTGTGGATTTTTTTTTAGCATATAGACATCTACAGTCCTTTAGAAAGAGGTACTTTGTAATGAGGCATTCAGAGACATTTTTTAATGTCGCTGGCAGCTTTTTGTCGGCTCACCCCTCCACCCTGAGGTCAGTGGTGTCAGCGTGATGCGTGCCTACCTCCCGTCTCGGGAGATGTACGCTGGCTCTGGTAGCCTTTCTGGAAGAAGCTGCTGCCCTCAGCCCACCCCCAGGGTCACTGCTTTGCTCTCCTGGGGCTCAGGTCTGTGGCTGGGCTCCTTTCGGTCCAAAAGGACGAGGCTGGCTAAGACCTTCTCTGTGAGCATCCAGGTTTGGGCTGGGATGGAGAGAGACTCCTCGTCTAGATGTGTGTGGTGGGAGCAAGGAGCGCGTCTGTGCCTGCGACCATGCAGGGGTGGGGAAGGATCAGCTGATGGCTGCCTGGGGTGCTTTGTTTCCTTGCTTAGGCTGGAATGGAAGAGAAAATAAGCATCAAAGGGCTGCTACATGAAAAGGGAACCCGAGTTACTTAGCGATTTACAGCAGAGGCTGTTTGCATTCAGCTGCCCGAGGCAGTGAATCGCTAAGTAACTCGGGTTCCCTTGCCAAGGCCGTGCAGGTTGAAGCACACAGCAGTGGGCAGGATCCGTGGCACATCGCAGGCTTTCTGCCCCGGCAGCTACCTGACTAACACAGAGCAGAGCAGCCAACCTGTGCTTCCTCGAGTGCAACTAGGTCACAGTGGTGCTCTTTTAAAGCCTTCTTTGCAAGGGAAGGATGCTTTATCAGAGCCGAAGTGGCTGTTCAGCCTCTCAGCAGCACATGAACCTCTCCAAAGGCACCAAGTTGCCTTCCGGTGACACCGTCCCCTTGGAATGACTTGACAGGAAAAGATTTCCCCAAGCACTGGGGATGTGAATGAAACCTCTTCCCGATGCAGGCAGAGCAGCACTGCAGTGCAGGTGCTGCCACAGACAGCTCTGGAAAGCCTTCCTGAAAGAGGGCAGTCTTGGCAGAGAAATGTAATGCTGAAACTTGCTTTCAAAGCCCACTAACGAGATCAGGAGCGCTAATTCAAGGATCTGGTTAGTCCCCAAAGCCCGTGCAGTTTTTTTGCGTTTGTTGGTCTAGGTCTGCTCTGACTTTGAAGTGCTCCTAAGCAGCAGCAGTAATTATTCACGTGGTAATTTTCAGTAATATACAGAAAGTGCCAGTGCTTGGGGGGGCTAGGGATGGGTGCCTGATGGTTTTTTCCTGTGTTAAACAACCCCTGTCCGACTGAGGATGCCTGGGAGCTGTGTTTCAGTGAGATTTCTCCTAACTGGAGGGAGGGAGAAGCAGGAGTGGGCAGGGCAGGGGGAGGAATCCCAAACAGCGAAAGAGGCTGAAGATTGATCTGCTAAATAAACTGCTAAATGTAATAAATCCTCCGTACAAAGCGGAATGGCTTTTGCCGTAGCGTTAGAGCCGTAATTGCTGCATTACTGCACTGTCATCTCTTGGAGCAGCGGATGAGGAGTGTCTCTGAGAACACGCAGGAATTTTAGAGCCGCATCTAGGAAGAGCGCATTTGCATTTTCCAAGGGAGCTGGGGGAGGCGCCTGCCCTGAGCACTGCAGGGCTGTTTTGAAGTTGTGCTGCTGAAAATGAATGCCATCAGTTAGCAGTGAGATGATGGCACAAGTATTTCCATGGCAGTCTCGGGCTTTGGGTTGCAGCTGCGGCTTCTCCCTAGCCAGGACGATCCCAGGGGCAGGCAGCATGGCCTCGGGTTTACATAAAACCGTGTCGTGCCCAGGCTACACGGGTGTCTTTGCAGAGGGGCATGAGGGGGGACAGGAGGCTCCTGGTGCCTGGCTGAAGGCCGGGCTCTCCAGCTTTTGGGGCAGCTTTTGATGTGATGTTTTGTTCCCCAAGACGTGGGCGCCAAATACTTTATTCTTGCGTAAATGTTACGGCGCATGGTAAAGGTTAATACAGTCGAAGTGCTGAGCTCTCTGCTCCCCAAGGTTAAATGGAAAACCGTGCTGTCTCTGAACCAACAGGACAATATTGGTGTCACGTGAAATCTGTGTGCTCTGTGAATGCTGCCGATGCTTTGCGAAGGTTTTACATTAGCGGGCTGTGTTTTGTAATTGCGTGGTGACAACGGGCTCATAAAAAAGGTTGCTAATAAGTATTCTTAGGAAATGTTTGGTGGTCGAATTCTGCTTTTCCAACGGGCAAAATACAGTTGCTTCCTTGATGAATCTGCTAAGCAGACCTTTATAAAATTACTGTCTCTTAATTCACTTGCTTGAGCTGCAGCACATGGGTAATTTCGTCTTTTTTCAATGAATTAACCTTTTATAAAACATATTTCTCCAGTTGGTCACACCAGGCTTCAGTGTGGCTCTTACTGCACAAAACTGATGCAGTGGAGTGGAGAATCAGACCTTTCATCTAATGAACCAGTATCCCAAGCAAGTATAAAATGTGTTGTTGTTCTTCTTTGTTTGGTCCCCAGGATCACAGCGAGCCTCTTCCCTTGCTGCATCAAGACTGGAGCAGGCCATGTCTGAAATAACTATGCAGAGCAGCACGATGAAGCAAGGACCTATGCAGCTGTGGACAGCTCTTGAACAAATCTGGCTTCAAGCTGGTAAGTCCTGATGTTTACGGAGACGGCCTGGAATTCCTTTTTCCCCCCAGTAGTGAATGAGATGACACAAGTATTAAGGGAATAACTGAGATCAGGGCTGTCTCTACACCTTAAGCAGTCAGTAAATCTGCCCATCTATCCCACCTGTTTTTTTCTTGAAATACCACTTGATTAAATCTAACAAAATATAGGAATAGTGAGATTATTCAGCTCACTTCTGTTTTCTCATAACACAGAAAACTTCAGTCATCATTAAAATGCATTTTTAAATGAAGAGGGTAAGCAGCTCATCATTCAGGAAGGTTATTTGATAGGAGTAATTATTTACATTTTGCGGAAAATGAACAGGCAAAGAATCTATGAAATGGTATTTAGACTGACAGTGTTCCAGTTTTTCTCAGTTTTCAGTGAAATGTATTAAACAAGAAAAAGTTCTCCACTCATTTCATCCTTGGCTGCTTGGATCTCCCAGTGACTTGTAGGTTTTGCATGTCAGTTTGAGACACTCATGCAAAGAGTGTGGCAGAGCACATAAAGGGAAAAGAGAACAGTGAGAACTCTACCCGGGGGCAACCTCCAAACTCATGAAAGGGTTTTATATAGGGCATTTGTTGAGGAGCAGAGTTGCACAGCACATTCTGCCATTTGCGTTCCAGCAATTTGGGACTGGTAAAAGGAACTCTGACCCTGCAGTTTTGCTCCTAAGAGAAACAGCTTTTCTTCCACAGTTGGTCCACGCTGTTATGTACCTGAAATTACATTTGAATGCTTTGATTGCTTCTTAGATGTCTCTGCTACTATTTGCAAGAAGAAAAAAAAAAAAAAAAAAAGCAGAGCCCACTAGAACCTTGCTGATAATTTTCTGTTCTGTACACAGGAGAACCTGTCAAATTCTCATTTACCTAATCTGTACGATTGATAATTCTCACATGAAATCTGGCAATCTCACCCTACTTCTCAGAAAAGATTTTTTTAGCTGTTTTTTTGGGCCATTTTCTACCAATTTGACTTCAGTTCTGGTACAAAATCTGTGACATTCTACTTGTTACAATTTGCCTAACTAGTATAGAAGTTACCTTTTGGAACGCATCATCCTTTAATTTAATCACGTGAGTTCATTTATTTGCTTATTTTAATTTCATTAATGTACTGTGGGCTTCAAAATCACCTGAAGGGTTTTGCTTTATTCAGTTTATGCTTCTGATTTAAGATTGCAGAGGAAGCTGCTGGGAAAACAACAACAAAAAAAAACACCACAGTTTATTGTGATGAGAAGTCAGGTGTCTGTTGTCCATCATCCTAGAGATAGCTCTAGGCAGTTTACATTTTTACTGCTGTGTGAAAAGACAAAAGCAATAAAGACCTACTGCTTGCTGTGACCTAGCTGTGAATTGCTACAATTATTTTTCAGTGCGCTTTTCTCAGAGGTGTTAATTCTTTTAGGCGGAAATTATTTTTATAACCTGTAACTTCTCTGTCCTATTCTATCTGTTTTTTAGTCTTTGTTTTGTTTCATGTTTGCTTTTCACTCGACTCGAATCAGGATTGATGTTCGGAAAATATGTATTGTGACTGCTTCGTGATTTCATTACTGAAGTCAGTTATTGTTATGGATGCAGCTTAATGGTCTTAGTAGTGGCCTTATTGACTTGAATAGTCCTACAGAGCATCATCACTGGCCCTCTGTCCCAGAATTTCCTATTTAGAAGGAGGGGAAAACAGAAGTAGTTATAAGTTAATAACTTCCAAAAAAGAAATATTTCATAAATAACCAAATAAACAGAAATATGTGGTTAGAAACGGCTGAGGTTGTCACATGCTTTTGTGTTCCAGCTCACCCCCAGGTTAACAGCTGTGGAAAACAACAGACGATTAGCATTGCCTGCACCCAGAGTCACTTCGTATTCATGAAAGAGCCGCATCGATGTGCTGTAGATTTCAGTCGGGTTTAGCTGGGACTTGTCCTTTTTCAGTCAATGACTCATCCTGTGACTCTTGGCAAGTTGCCTAACTTTTTCATACCTCAGGTTCCTATCTCTTAATGGAGGAAAATGTTTGTCTGCCTTTGGGAAAAGACTCACATATTGCTGCTTTTATTGTTATTAACACTTTAACCTTTTTTTTGCTTGACTCATAAATCTTTAGAAAAATCCATTATAATTTCTAAACCTTGTCCTGCAGTAAATTTATAACAAAGCATCCGTCTTTCCCAGGCACTAGAAGCACGCAGCGGGCCATGTCTCTGTGTGTGGATATGGATGTAGGAGGTTCACAGGCTGTGAACCTGTCAGGGATCCATTAGAGCCATTAGAGATCCCGTGCCTCGTCATGTCCCAGGGCGTGAGAACTTAATGGTGCCAGCTGATTGATCGGGCAGAGCTCTCTGGGCTTACGTTGGAAAGAAGCATGCAAAGCAAACGATCCCACAGCTACATGGGGCTGGTCTTACAGCTCTCCGGCAGCCAGCACGTGGGCTTGCAAGGGGACCGTTCGTGTGTGGTAGTCATCAGGTGGTGCCAGATGGGGGAATGGTTACAGCATCGCCCTCCACACACAGCTGCAACAAGAATCCAGGGCTAACCTGCCTTGTGCACAAGTTCCTTGCTCCTAATGCATCTCCTAGTTAGTGCACCCCTTAATTAGTGCACGAGAACACGTGCACTCCATTAACAGTGGCTGAAGGCAAGGCTGTGAACTCTCCCCAAATATTTAGTCTTCTGTGCTGTGCTAAAGATAGTTATCTTGCGCTAAGAGGGCACAGACTTCTCAGCTGTAACTTCTGGGTTTATGTAGGAAAGCTAATAAAGGAGCAGCTTTGGAAGCGCAGCTGCAAAGTCCACATGTGCTGCATACATGGCTGCTGCTCCTCAGTTTTCCCTACAGCAGTGTCTGCTGAACTTTGTCTTGGTGATCTGGCAAGCTAACTTCTTGTAGCTTCTGGTCAGCAGCCAAAGAGCTGCTTGATGCATCTCTGTGGTTTCTAGAATAAGTCCTGTTATCCTTTTTCACATACCTACATAAAACTGAATTGTCACTTTCTCCTGTGGCCACCCTTCTGTAGTCCCAGTGGGGAGGACAGTCATCTGCAGCAGGGAACTTAGCATCTTTCTTCAGTGGGCTTGCAGATTCCCATTCCCCGCAGGTAGCCACAGTTAGTTTTGGAAGAGAAAGGGGTCTGTGGTTTCCAAAGACCAGAGAGATTGTCCCTGCCCTGGAGTAGTCATGATTTGGGGAATACTGGGAGGCATGCTGTTTTCAAGTGCTCTGCAAGCAAGATGAATACAGCTTGTCTGGTCCCTCTTGAAAATAACCCAGCCCTCTGCATCTTCTTGAAATGTAATGGCTTCTTAAGAGGAGTCATTTCATTGGGTTTTTACATTAACAGACCTAAACATTCTTCTTGGCCCCAAATCTGAGGAGGAGCCGTTTATCAGGGTCCTGCTGCAAGGAGCGCTGGGGAAGGGTGCTGCAGTGCACATCTCTGCTGTGCACGGCTCCAGGAGTGGTGGTCTTCATGCAATCTCGGTGTCCATTTTTTCTCTTTGTTCTGCTTTCCAATGACTGAGAACTTGAGTCAACTTTGGGAGGAGAGAAGGAACTTTAATGGCATTCTTCTCCTACCTCTTCTTGCAGAAGGAGGTGCAAGGAAAACCCTAGAAATTACTGGTGATTATCCAGCTTCTCCTACCAAGAGAGATGTCTGACCTAGAAGCTGTTCCTGCTCCCTTTTTTCTTTTCAGAATCATGCCAGTAGTCCTCCGTTCTGTTTAGAAAACACAATCATGATGTTTGGCTAAGGAAAATATATTTGGAATGGTTCAAATTTATGGCCAAAACTTACTTTCATTCTGCGTTTTTACAAAATCACGTTTGACCTAGAGAGCAAAGTGTGTCAGTACTGAAAAGAAGTAGTTTTCAGCTCTTTCGGTAATGAGCGGTTTCTTATCTGAAGTATGCATGAGTATGTTTCCAGGCAGTAATAACTGTTGTGTGCTCTATTTATGTGGAGTATTTTAGAATGCTGCAAGCCAGTTTTAATAAGAGTTTGAATACTCCAGCTCCTGTTGCTCTATTATTTTAAGCTTTACTTTTAACTACAATGTCCACTTTGTTTGTCTTTACTAGTACTTTATATCTGACAATTTAGCTTCTTGACTGGCCCAATACTTTACCAAATATGGCCACTCACAGCAAAGTAGGTCTGGTAATTTGATCTAAGATTGGCTAAATGCCTGCTAAGCACAGGCTGCAAACCTCACCAGGTAGACCTAAAGCTAATTTAAAGGAGCATTTAAAGAAAAATCACTCGAATGACTATCCACGTATTCACAGTGGGGCTGGAGAGGGCTACCTGCTGCCTCAGGAACATGCTACAAGCTAGGAAAAAATATTGTAATGAACATGCCCTAAACAAGAAATGTAAAGAGAGCCAATGTAGCAGGGAACAGTGAGCTAATGGAAAAACATCTGTTCCCCCGAGTTATGTACAGCAGGAACATTTTTTTTTTTCCCTTCACAAAACGCTTGTGATTTATTTATTTTATTCAGTATGGGCCAATTCCTGGGAAAAAAAAAAAAAAAAAAAAAAAGCTGTGTTAGAGGAGATGGGCTTTGTTCCACGAGAAAATGTCGCAGGGGCCAGTGGGCTGGGATCTGCAGCCCCGGCTGGCCTGCGGCCACACAGCCGCACACGGGCAGGGACGGAGCCCGGGGACAGCAAAGGGAGCAGCTCACCAGCACAGCTTGCATTTGCACTGTTTGCACGTACGTAATGAAATGCTCGCCCCTCCCTCAGCTTTTAGCAGTCCTAAGCCCCCCTCAAATTATTAGCTCTGATATTAAAGGTGTTTATCATCAGGTTGGGGAGACATCTTTACTGATGTTGCAGAATAGCTGGGGTCAGATACTCTCCTGTGATGCAACACAGGTTGTTGAAGCAATACTAGTTTTATTTTCCTTGTGTTATTTTTATTATTTTTTTTAATAAAAAAGTGTTTTGA